GAACGCGCTTGTAAGTCACAAGTTCCCGATATCTGAGATGAAGATGAACTGCTAGAAATCGGTCCACGCTCAGGGCCATGATACCGAGGAACGAAGCGTTGGCCAGTGTAGATTGGATGATCCATAACACTTCGGTATCCTTTTTCCTCAAAATGTTAACAATCCATAATGGTTGAGCGACTAAACCAACAGCAAGATCAGAAAGGGCAAGACTCAACAGTAATATTTTCAAAGGATTTGGTAAAGAGGAAGTTTTCTTTATAGCTTGTATCGTTATGCTATTGAAAACGATCGCTGTAAATGCAGAAAAGACGTTCAAGACGACGTTCACGATGAGCCCTGAAGTGGATGGCACTTCAATATTTATCATTCTTCACTGAGTTATAGATAATTTTCTGGACTTCAAGTGATCGTTTGTATGAAAAATTCCGCGGTTAACTGCCGGTCTCCCTGCCGATCTCAAACTAAATAAACTAATCTTAGCACATAACCAGCTGGTTGAAACGCTTTCTTAATTAATCCGTTAATAAACAATGAGATAAGGCATTCAGTTGTGAACATCATCTGTTTTCTTCAGACGTCACAAAATTGCGTGAGTGCTTGCACTCTACGTATTACAGGTAATAATTCACGAGACTTTCTAAGTTAGGGATGTGATATACCAGACATTTGGCATATAAACTGACTTTTGAAACAAATGTTAATTTTCAGTTATTTTACTAAAGCTGGCAGCTTGTCACTATTATGTAATGCCGAGAGCTTATAAGAGCTGAAAGTAGAGGATATGAATAATAATGCCTTGATATTACTCGATGTGATTCCAATCTTTCCTTTTGTGATATCATCCCCCGTGTTTCAAGTCTTCATTTTCATCATAGATTGGCCGCGAGAATAAAACAAGGTAAAAATAAACGAAAAGGAGGAAAAAGGTGGTCGTCGATATATTTACATACAAAAAGATGTTGTTAAAAAAGTGAAAACATAAAAACAAAACAAAAAGAAGGAATTTCTCGTGTATTTTTGATTAGATTAAAGCCGAATATTAAAAATAAAGAGGTTCTTTTTGCTTCCAAACGCAGACTGGTCAAATACATTACAACTTAAGACTAAGGAAGTTTTACCAGTCGTCAAAACATGGATGATGCTGTCGATCATGAAAGTCGTAATTAGAATAAGCCAGATGAGTCATATTTCTCAATTACATTCTCATATAATTTACATAAAAGCCGCTTGTCATTTAGTTGGGTAATTTTATTTTAATTTGTTCTGCTATTAGTATAGGTACTGATATGAATTCAAAAGCAATTTGGTTTAAATAGGCACCAGTAAATTTTTCAAGCACAACAAAACTGCATGGGCTGTTTATTTACACCAAATTTCGCTCAATTCATGTTATTACTAATTAATAATTTACATAGAAAAAGATCACATAAATTCAAGACAGACATTTGTAATTAGGACTCGTGCTACAACTTTGCACTCGTGTTACTTTAAAAATGCGCTCGTTTCAGCCAATCAGAAGCGCGTGATTCTTTCATGTGTATTATCAGGATGAAGATTGAAAGGATTAATATCAGTCTCTGTGCAACTGGGCACCTACCCCTCCCCTAACCCAACAATAGTCAACTATTAATAAGTCAGGGTCAATGTTGGGTTAGGGGAGGGGTAGGTGAACAACTCTTTATTGCGCTTTATGGACAACTCCTCGTAAGTTGACAAATATCTATGGAAATCCTCTTTCTCTTCTTTCAGTGAAAAAATTTTTTCTACGACACACTCATCCGATTTCACTTCTTTTTGGTATCAGGGCTGAGCATAGTTTCATTAAACTAAATACCAATGCAATCATTAGTAATGACCAATTAGAGAAATGGAAAAGTCAATGAAAACTCATTAACCCTAACATCTAATTTCTCCTTACAATGTCACTCATGAATCACATATTAAGCCTAGGAAGTTCCTGATTGTCAAACAAATTCTCCTTGCTAACACCTTAGGGAATGTATGGAGGACAGTATGGAGAATATGCATACTGATGTTAAGGTGTAATTAAAGGTTCAGTAGTAGAAACAAAAAAAAACTACCTGAATAGCATGAAAGGCAAACGGCCTCTTACAAGGGAGTGTAATTCTCTTGCTTAATCAAAAAGCGAATTAATCAAGAACTGCAAGAACCAAGTTGCAGTAGATTTTTCAGATTTCTCTTTTTCTAACACATATTTGTCGGCACGTTTATCTTTATTTTTTTCAATTCAATTGAAAGGTAACTGAAAAATTGCGAAAAAATTTTAAAATAGTTTTCATAAAAAGAAAACACTTTCGAGTGAAAATCCATTGGTTAAACAAGTGACCCCAAGGCCCGGCACTTTTAAAAGAGTACAGTAATTATAAGGTATGTAGCGCGTGTTTGCTTTATAAACATATAAAATCAATATTTGTACCATAGAGATACGTAAACTATAACACAATTACGTAGGCGGTCGCCGCAATCTCCTGATCTGGTGAAGCCTGGATCTGTCGCTAAGTCAGATTTACAAAGGTCTCGAACATCGCAGTTTCGTACACTGCTTCGGTATCTAGTTGAGAAAGGTAAGTTTAAACCTCTGAAAGGCTCTGATCACTTTTCACCTTTACCAATTTCTATCTGGTGGTGCAGCTCCGTCGTTTTTCGCCAACACTCGAGCAGAGTTTACTGCACTTCTGTGTTTCCATCAGTAAGGTGTGTCACCTCAGTTTTAAGTTGCTCTCGACTGCTATCTTTTTTGAGCGGATGTGGAGCGGAAATAACCCACCCAAGCAGTTAATCATGAGATGACGTAAAAAATGCTAAAAGAAAAGAGAAATCGTATTTTAAACTCTGCCCTCTTACATTCATTCCTCTGTCCCCTGGGGGTGCAACAGTTCTGTCTGATGCGCGCGGTGTGTTCTTGGCATCCAGAATGGTTTATTGGCGGCTTTATCTCGTTCATTTTGCGTGGAGTCTTAAATTTTGCGATCGAGGGCACCCCAGAAATGATAAATTCACCGTCTTCTCCTGTCGAGGGATCAAAATTTAAGATTTAAAGGGAAAATAAATAATTGAAATTCCTCAACACTTACAAGCATCTAACATTATTTTCATGAATGTATAGTCCTAAATCTAGATTCCATTCTAAGACGTGTTGTAATTCGTTTCTACACTAAGGTAAATTGCAAAAAATTCAGGTAACACAAAGCTATAAATCATTTCGAATTTTTGTCTTTCCAAGTATTTAATTCTTGAACTTCTACTCATTATAAAATGTTTGAGTAAACTTAAGTTTGTCAGAGACAGGCTGGAAAGTCACTCTGTCTCGAAGAGTTCAAAACTCCCTTTCTACGTTATATCTAATGCTCAAAAATGGCCGAGAATTCAATTCGTGATGAAGTCTAACTCTTCAACATCGGTATGTTGTTTTTTTAATCGTAGCATACCTTGGTTAAATAATAATTTAAAAAGAGCTCTGCAAAGCTGTGCATCAGTTTTAAATAGTTTCACACCGGAGAGATTTCTATTCATGCAGCGTGAATTTGAGAAAGGAAACAAAATTAAATTCTCAGAGAAATTAGAACAGTGAAGCAGAAACGATCCAGCTAACCTTCGTAGGAATGCGCTTAAATTCCCGTCAGGCATTTGAAGTTTAATATTGCTGCTATTTAAATTCAAATGAACTTTAAATGGGTTCGGTGTGTTTATCTTGACTTGACAGATCACTCTTTAGGTTACTTATGAAAACTGTCTGCGCGCGTAAGACTAATGAAAAATATGCAAATATCGATATACATGCATTCAGAGCCCTATCCACTCACAAACAGCTCGAAATCTGGGCAAAATAAAGATCTGAAAATGTTTGTTGTCTGAGGGGCGCAGAGCGACATCGACCGACGTCAATCTCAATGTAAATTCGTTCACTCCCATGCCTTTAGGGCACTTAGCTCAGCTAAACCTCTAGTGCCAAAACTGAATGAGAGCAGTGAAAATTGAAATCTGCAGTTTTCTTCACTGATCAGTCAAATTTACGATTTTCAGGATAAAATCATGCGCGGAGCTATTTTGTTAACACTAGTCGTGGTCCTGGGGCTCGTCTGCGTATGTTGCAAAGGGACTGACGTCAAAAAGAGCCCAGAAGGCTCCTTACTTCTCGACATAGATCCTAAGGTTGCCAATGCCCCTGGAGACGACAAAAAGAAACCTGGACCCGAAAACGATCCACACGGCTGGAGATGGAGGTTTAGATACAGAAAAGGATATCGTAGACGTCGGTACCCATCGCGTAGACCTTACCCGCCGCATCACACACATCCACCGCCGCCACCAACACCAGCTACTTCTGTGCCTTGTTCTTCATCAAGGCCAGACGGTGTCCAGTGGGCAAATGAGTGGACAAAATCTCTTGATTTCGAGTGTCCAAAAGGTAAGGCATTTACGCATGCGCATTAGGGTCAGATCTAGTCCTTCTCCAAAATTACAAGAAAATAGCATGTTTAAAGAGCTCTTATTTTCTTACAGATCATGATCTTTTGCGCGAGAGATCTAGATATAACAGCAAGGCGATAAAAATAGTAGCAATAACGATAATGTAGTAATAAAAATGTAAAGAAAAAGAGAATGAAGAAAGAAAAGTTGTCAACGGAGTACAACGAAGAGCGTTCACGACTGTCTAGGAAGTTTCTGGCTCGCAAAGGATACGCAAAAACCATCGCCAGGTGTCGCTGATTGAAGATCATCGAACCAGCTGAAATTCTTGTTTCCCCTAGCTCAGTTTATATTCTGACCATAACCATATACACGATATCTAATGATTAAATAGTTGCCAAAAGTATCTCATCTCTATCATTTCGATATTTCAGGCCAGACATTGATCTACATGAAGAGCGACTACAGTGAATGCCATCATGACCGAATCTGGGCGTTCGGTTGTGGGTATAACGAGGCCTCTTATGAACACTGCTTCTGGGAACACAATTTCGCCAATGACCTAAGAGATGGCATCTTCTTTAACTGCCCGAATCATGGTTTCGTAGCAGGTAAGGCCGCTTCGTAGACCTCTTGGAATGGTTGTCGATATTTTCTTATGAAACATGACAATTACTGCTCTCACAAACAGAGTCTTACATCGTTACCCAACGTGAAGCGAAACACTTACTACAAAGCAATAACTCAGCCGGAACGGGGTTGCCTGGGGGAGAAGTTTCAAGGGTACAAATGAACGTCGTCTTGTTAAAAGAAAAATTATCATTATTATAATTATTAACTGTGTATTATTTTGGTTTATTTTTCATACATAGGTGTGAAAGCCGAATATTTTCCAGTGGGAGATCGGCGCTACAAGTTTAAATGTTGCAATGACAGAAGATTTGACCATGAAGCTTGTCACCAGTCCCCCACACTGAACAAGGCCGGGGAAAACTTAGAGTTTAAGGTCGATAGAGACAAGCGAGATTATATCACTGGCATTTCCAGCTGCTTTCACTATTACAAGAGGTTAGAACACTTACTAAACTATTAACTGGTTCACACCATGTGGACCCCATTTCAATTGTAAGTATCACACCTAAACTTAAGTACGTACTCAAAGAAGACGGGAAAAAAAGCAAACTGCCTGAAGCGCGAGAATACAGAAGCAAGGTGACCAATGGTGAAACCCGAAACTCACGAGACACCGAGATCCCAGTTCGAAAATACGAGAGCGACTAAACATTTAAGCCTCATGACTCCTTTTAATTGGATTCCTTATTTAAGTTCGTTTTGTTGATACATCAGCCTCTACAATGCATTATTTTCAAACTGTAACGCTATCACGACTTTCTTCGCTCCCGACGACAACTCTGGGCTAATCCAGCCATCCTTTGACAGAGGTCTGGGAGAAATATGAGAACTTGAGATCCATGGAAAAGGCTTTCGAGATTTCGACTATTCGAAATCGAATAAAAAGTTGGTGAGACCCACAATTTTTCAAGGTACCATTTGAAGCCCCTGCAAATCACAATTGGTTTTCCATCTGATTGGTTGAGAGGGTCCTGCAAATTGTCTCGACCAATCACGCGGAGCAATAGGGCTAAACCAATAGAATCTTAGATTTTTATCAGCGGAAATGGAACTGAAAATTTATCGGTGCGTAATAGTAGCAATCTAACCGAATTTCACGTTCCTTTTCTGTCACAGGGACAGGACATGGAAGATCGACTACTGCAAGTCAGTGCAAATGCTTCAACCTGAGAAAAAAGAGGTCATCGAGAACTGACGGCAAATCCCACGTGACCGACATTATAAGCAACAATAACTTGTCTCTTTTTCTGTGTTGGCAGACCACTGAAAGTAGTTTTTAGTATTAAAATAGTGAGAAGCAAATTATTAAGCTACACGACAAAAAAAGTAGTTTTTCGTAACATAAGTTTGGACGGCGTAATTTCCTCCTGTTGTACTGTATTAACTTAGTCTGTAAAATATGTGGAATGTGTGGTAAAATAAAACTAAGTATTTTTTCAAACAAGTTGGAAAATGAGTGCGTTAACCACACTTGGGACTAGCATAAAACAAACCTAATACAAGGCCACTAGAAGTCTTGGGCTGTTGTGCCTTCCCAGCTGGTTCGATGTCAAAACCATTTTGTGGGTACTTAGATGGTGGAAGTGGGGAGGGGAAGGAAGGGGGAAGGTTGCCCGGCAGGGGTAAGTGCCTCGTTGCACTCGTCATTAGTCATTGAATGAAAACAGGAAAGAAAACGAAAGGTAAATGACTTCCTATAGCTTAAATATAAGCCCTTGAAGAGCCCACCTTTTATTTCATCTTAAAAAGTGGTGTATGAGAGATATACATTTATTTAATAATACTTAGTATTGGGGGTATTCAACAATATTCACTTAGCCTTTGGCACATTCAAAATATATCAGTCTTTTCTCTCCCAGGCATCTTTCCCAGAAAACAATGATAAAATTATCATTGGCTAAAGCACATCAAGAGGTGTACCACCTAATCCACCAAGTTTACTCAACACCAACTTAGCAGATACAACATCTTCCAGTGCCATACCTAGAAAACAGATGTTCCAGAAGTTTATGAAAAAAATTCAACGTTTTCATCAGTATCACTAATTTTAACTCACTGAAACTACAATGTGAATCAGTTTCAAGGTTTCAAGGTATAACTAACAATAACTAAGTAGTGTTGACAGTTCTTTGCTGATCATTTCACACTATCACAGCCTTTATCAGCTTCTCTAACTTAAATTGTAAGTGAGTATGGGTTGGCACCTGCTCCCACCCTGTTGATTTGTGAATACTTCACCTCTGACTCTTCTACAGCTCACGACAGCTTACCTAAAGACTTAAAGATCCGTGTTTTTCCTTCAGGAACAGCCAATTTTCCTGAAATTACATCACCAATCTCCCCAGCCACTGTTGCCTAGTTATCAAAAGAACAAAGAATAAATTCCATGGAATGCCAATAACTCAAAGAATAATGAGCCACCAAAGCCACAAGGCTTGCATAGGGACATATTTTGCAAAGTTTTGGCAAAACTTCTCTACAGAAATTCTGACAGACTAACCTTGGAGAGGATCACATCCCCAGCTTCCTTAGAAGCTGCCTCAATGCTGTCCGCTACTATAAAGCTATTGTGCATAGTTTCATCATCCATTTCTCGCCATGTTGGGCGGGGTGCACCAACAGCTGTACAAAAAAAGAGTCACAATTTCTGTTGAGATTTAGATTTGAAAGCAATATACATATTAGGTCTGTGGGAAGCTTATGATCATTATGAGTGTTATTAGAAAATTGTATTTAGGAGCTGGTAGTTTAAATTGGCAAATGTTTAAAATCAATTACAAAGAAGAGGAATCTTCCCCTCTATGAACTAAAAAGGTAGTTTAATCAACGATGACAAACAGTAATATTAGATCAAAACCAATTGTTGTCTATAAGTGCTGGACCAGGTGTTTTCTCTGTTTGCATGGCATGAAGGGATCAGTGTCAGTATCTAAGCAACTGCACACCTACCCCTCCCCTTGGCGCTCAGTTGCTAGGATACTGAAATTGATACACATGAAGTGACTAGAAGTGTAAAGATCTATGCATCTACAGTGAGTGTGTTTACCAGGCCAAACTTAAGCCCATTAAACCCAAAATTTACCACACAAATTTTGTCCCATGACTGGCTGTCATCTGCTTGCTTGCTCCCAAAGTTCCTGATAATGATGATAAAAATTAATCCTTATTAGACCACTCACAGTTTATCAGTGCTCCAGGCTTGACCCACTTTCCAAACAGAACAGGTTCTGTTGCCAAGGTAGCAGTGACTATGACGTCAGCCCCTGAGACTGCTTCTTCAACTGTAGCACATGCTTTGGCACCAATCTCATCTGCAAGCTTTTGCGCATTAACAAAGGTTCTACTCCATATTCTGACCTTGAAAATTAACAAGTTTCATTTGAAATCTAATGCATAAAAACATTCAGTAGTGACAAACATACAGATCAATTGCAGGCTACATCAGATATAATTAAACATATTCATGATTGTCAACGTACATAATGTGTATTCTACAAAGTATGGGACCTACCCAACTATGGAACACTATTCCTAATAATTTAAGAAATATCGATGATTACCGCAGTTTTAAACATGGACTCAAGGAGCTCAACCTTGCAAGTTTATGGTCCCTTATTTGCCATTTAACTTAGTTTTTTTTTAGTTTTATGTAGCTCCACATACTATATCATTTTAAGCACTTTTTGTATAGTTGTAAGTTTATAGACCTTATTTGCAATTTAACCTAGTTTTTATAAGTTTAATACTTCTATAATTTTATGCAGTTCCATAATAATACATCATTTTAAACACTTTTGTATAGCTTCTAGGTTTATTTATTTATCTTTTCTTCGATGACTGACCTGTAAACTAGCTTTATATAGCTAAGTGTATGTATGTAAGAAATAAATATGAGAGCAATCTATGCCGAAATAAACACTACTTACTTCACCTCTACTTATAGTGTTCACTACTGCAAAGATCGCTTTCATATTCAATATATCATATTGGTATAATAATTGTAAATTATTACCTCAGTGAAGGGTTTCACAAACTTGAGGGCCTCAACATGACTTCTAGCCTGAGCACCTGACCCCAAAATACACAAAACTTCAGTACTCTCAGAAGCAAGGAACTGAAATAGAAGTACAAATGAAACATTCTTCAGGAAAAATTAATAGTAAGAGTTGATTCAACGTTAATCACATGATGCAAGGAGCAGGAGTCAATTACAGTTACCATAGCCTTTTTGACAAATTTGGAAAGAGCACTAACAAGGAAAAATCTGGATCCTTTATGAGAACTTAGACCCCAGCACAACACTGAATGCTCTATACTAACTGATGATATGCAACTGAGCTACAGATATATCTTATTAGGACTGGCTGGGTCTTAACCCTTTAACTCCCATGAGTGACCAAGATAATTTCTCTTTACAATATCAATACAATATCAACCAGATAAGAGATAAGAATAAAGAAAATTATCAATTTGAGGATAATTAGCTGATCCAATACTAAATTCTCTGAACTAACATTATAAGAATGGTATGGTTGAAAGCAAGGAGAATTACAAATTTAATCTCGGAGTTAAAGGGTAAATATGCGTGATTGAGACATGACAAGCCTCCTGCAGGGATCAGCTATCATTAAAAGCATCTAATGTGGAGATGACAATAAATCACTGCACTAAATTTAATACATTAGACTCAGTAGATGCAAAAACACACCTTAGTTGCAACAGCAGATGCTGCTGCAGTCCGCATGTCTGTGATTGGAATGCCATCCATAATCTTTAAATGTTTAAATATAATTCAATCAAAATTTGAAGCTAACCTTCAGTAGCATGTTGATTAAAATGGATGATTGGATCAAGGCCTTGAGCTACTGATTTCCCTAATGATAGCTCTGAGACTCAATCCAATTGACCATAATGCAGTAAATTTACATGAAGTGTGACTGAATTTAGCAGTATTTTTGACCAAAGAGACCCCAAGAAATACACTGAGAAATCTCCTATAGGACCACTAAATTTTGAATAACTAACATGAAAGTAGGTTTTTAGTCAATATTTGAAGAAGCCAAAAAATGATTAAAGGATTTTGCAGCATACATTGTCTACATTCAGCCTCTATAATCAATTGATATGACAAATGGTTACGTTAGTTGACAAAATTGTCAAAACTGACATTACTGACCGCTTGTAACAAACCATTCTTGGGATCTAATACCATGACATTGCTTAAGAATGAAGGTAGGCCCTGTTTCTCATTTTCTGGAAAACCTGTGACCAATTTTACAGCAAGAGCATTGTCTTTAGCTGAATAGGCTGGCATCACAAGAAAAAATCTGCAGAATGATAAAGACCTCAATGATCATCCTAATTAACTCTAAAAACTGGTAAGTGCTGAGTCAATCTCAAAATAACTGGCCTGAATAATTCATTTCATTGACTCTAACTAGTTAAATGGCTCTAGGGGTTTAGAAACCTTAATATTTTCTCATTTGGAGGTGCTGTGGTTAGAGCTTGTAATAAAGGTCATGTCAGGATGTCCATAGGTGGGGCAAGGGGTGCTGGAATAAACAGGATAACCAGTTTAGCAGGTACAAAACATGGCTTTAATACTACTTGGAAACAACGGAAAAGGGCTTGAGCCTTGGAAAAGAGAAATATGGAAAAGCTGCAGTTTCGTCGGACACGCTGAGAATTTTTTCAACAACCAACATCCATATCTACACTTTTTGGTAGGGCCCTATTCCACCTCCCCAGTCCCTGCCCTCCATTGATGACCAAATTAATGCTAAAAAAAACGAAAAGAATGAGCCCCGTCACAGAACCCTACGAATAACTTACAAAAATCTTATCAGTGATAGGTGTTTCCAGAAATTTAGTTTCCAAATATGTTCTTCAGTCATAAGACATAAGTATAAGTTACCTTACCCGCGGTTTTCGACCTCAACGGCTGTGCGCACAGGCTGAACAACTCCGCCGCTTCTACGGGCGGAAAAATTGACTAAGGCCTGTTCAATGACCGGAATGAGGTCTTCATACTTTAGAACCTCTTTTACACGAGAGGCACTTATGTACTTTGGAGGTTCCAAACTCTGATGAGCCATTTCCCCCAAGTCGTACCAGACACACCTCTCCCCCACAACCGAAACAACATCTCCGGAAACTGAATATGCACTACTACTGCACAGCTGTCTAGAATGAAAATACTAAAATTAATCTACCTTTTGATTGGCCTAAATTTTTATTCTAACCAATCAGTACAAGTTTTTGTTTTGTAAAAGCCACGCCCACTTGAGAGGCGGATATTCTTCGACGCCATCTTGCTGCGTAGACTGACCAGAGTCCGTGGCAAATTTACCTTTACTAGCAATTGTTGATAATTGTATTTATCCGAAATGTCGGATAAGGAAGTTCACGAGCTTTCTATCCGCCCGATTACTTGCTTCTGTTTCAACAAGGATTGCAGTCGTAAGTCTTTACCGATTCATTAGTTTACTTCCGCTACGTACAGCTGAAGTCAGTTTTGTCTGCTTAAAAATTACTCATCCTAATGTCTAATAGCGGTGAAAGTTATCGATATGGATTGTAGAGGGGTTGATAACTCCTTGCCTGAATGAAAAATTCTGATACTTTTGTTTTTGATGCGGCAGAGCTGGCGTTTTCTCCAAATGACAGCACCGTTCACATTTGCAAGAGAGCTGGCAACACATGGGATAAAGGAGTTGTACTGTCTGAGGTGCGGACGATGAATAGAAAAATTAACCACAATCAGATGTGTCTGATCTAGTTGCTTAAGTATTGAAGTGCTCTGTTGAATAATTTTTTTTTTTAACAAATGATCATACCTCTACAGCCCTAAGCAGTCGATCATTTCTAATAGGTTTTACTGTTTGCCTACTTCATTCTGAATTATTTTGTCGCTTTCTCTGCAAATGAACCCCATAAGTTTTTCTCATTTTGAGCTTACTTTGATTTTGTTTTTTGTTAGCATGGCCAACGTGTGACAGGAATGGCTTGGGCCCCAACCAGTAACAGGCTTGTCACCTGTGGAGCGGTGAGTATTTGTGATAAAAAGTGTCATTGAGGGCCTTTCCGCACTATCGGACTAAACTAGAATTGTCCTAACAAAATCAAAGGACAAATTTTGTCATGGCAAATTTTTGCCTCGTCTGTTGCATCTGCATTAAAAATTTCAAATCCATCAAATTTTGTCAATGCCTGATCTGTTCATAAGACTGGCCAGCATAGTTTGGCAAAGGATTCCACCTCTTATTTCCAGGATTTATCCAAAGTCGTTTTAAAATTTTAGAATCCCCAAGTTTTGCAATGAAAGACAGTTCTGCAATGAAAGACAGTTTTTGCCCTCCTAGCAAACTGATTTCAGTTCAATTACATGCTGGTTGTAGCTTTTACAACTAGTGATTGACAAATTTATCACAATTTTGTCCCTCTGTTTGCCATGCATTTAACCCTTTAACTCCCAAGATCTCATTAGTAATTCTCCTTACTGTCTGCCAGACAGTTCTTGCGATGTTAGTTTGGATAATTTAATATTGGATCAACTTATAATCCCCTAACTGATATTTTTCTTCATTCTCATCACATGTCTGCCTGATATTGCATTGCTATTGTAAGGAGAAATTCTATCTTGGTCACTCACGGGAGTTAAAGGGTTAAAGATTTGTCCACTTCTGCCAACATTTGTCATGTTGGGACAAACCATTGGGCTATGACATTAGTTTGTGTTTGTGGCCAGGTGATGTTTTGGACCCTCTTTTTGCATCTCCTTCAACAAATAATTTTCAATCTGGCATCATAGAATCATTATGAATACTGTTGTCATCTTTAGGACAGAAATGCCTATGTATGGGACCTACAAGATGGCCAGTGGAAACCTATGCTTGTTATTTTGCGTATCAATCGTGCTGCAACCTGTGTTTGCTGGTCTCCTAAAGGTAACTGTAATTCTTCTCATAATACCACTTTTAGAACTGCAGTGAGGGATTATGACATTGGGTTTTGGACATCCAAATTGTTCGTGAGATATACTCGTGAGTAGGCTGACATGTATGGGGAAAGTGGTAGTAGTAGTAGTTTAGTCAAGTTATAAAGTTTTCCATACTGTTTATTGAGTAGGAATGAGCACACTAGATATATTCATAAGTAAGCTTGCATATACAGTGAAAGGGAGAAAATGAATCTGCCACACTTAAGTTGCAGATTAGGCAATTAAATATCTTAAGGTTCTGCAAACTAAGGCAATTTTTTATTCAAGTCCTGTGGATTCTAAAATAGAGTTTTTGTTGTTTGTAGAGGACAAGTTTGCTGTAGGAAGCAGTGCTCGTCTCATTTCAGTGTGCTATTTTGAAAAGGAGAATGACTGGTTAGTAATATGATGCTGTCTGATTTTCTTACTCTTATTTAGGAACTGTTTGATCTTGTTTAGTGCAAGGCACATTGCATTTTGGTAGTGCTTATATATAGGTTAGTAAACATTTAATTCAATCGATTGATTTCCTTGTTCTGTGTGCATGTAGGTGGGTCAGCAAGCACATCAAGAAGCCAATCCGTTCCACTGTCTTGTGGTGAGCATTATTACTCATTTTGCAGCTCCTATTGTGGACAACCCTTTCTATATTATTCAGGCAAACATCTAATAATAATCTTTGGAGTGTTTCATGAAACATTCCCTTGTCAAAGTTTAAGCAAATTTTTTACTGACTAGAGTTATGGGGAAATTGTATGAGTGTTAAAATGTATAAAGAAAAATTTTATATTAAATATAATGTTAGATTGGAAGTGTTATTTCAAACTGAAAAAGGAGGTACTATTATGGCCCAGTGTGTGTATGTTGTAATAAGGTGTGAAATAATTCAAGAAATTGATAGAGCAAAGTAACTTAATTTTTAACATTAAAATTAATTCCTTTTGTGTCTGATTAAAATTTCTGCAGTCTTGATTGGCATCCAAACAACTTATTGCTGGCTGCTGGTTCTTCTGACTTCAAGACAAGGTAGGCAGGATCTTGAGAAGATTGTTAATCCTCCTCACTTTAAAAGATTCATGGTAGGACTGTGTGTTCAACATTTACTATTATGGGTGTTTGGCAGTGTGTGTATCAATTCCTTCTGGTGGTTGTCTATGTGCATTTGTAGAAAGCCTAACTTCCCTATCATTTGCTCGCATAGGGTGTTTTCTGCTTTTATAAAGGAAGTAGATGGAAAGACTAACACAGACACTATCTGGGGAAAGAAATCCAGTTTTGGAAGCTGTTTGTCTGAGTTTTCTAATGGCAGAGGTATGTACATGTAACAGTCTTCAGCAGCGTGACTTTGGCCTGTAGTAAAGCATTTATGCCAGGTTGTTTTATTGATGTAGAGTATGCTTGGGTAGATTCTAAAGTTTGGTTGCTGTTTATTAATTTATTTAGACTTGGCACAAAATTTTTAAGTTTAAAGCTTTTCAAATCCACAAAGAAGTGCTGCCTCTAAATTACAGTTTGAGGTCCTAGTATGGTTGCTAAATTGCATAATTGCTGAGCTAAGCTAACCATGATTGGAGGTTAATCTCCCCAGTCCATGCCCTCTGACTTGATAACTTTGAATTTGCAAAGTGAAAGTTAGAAAAATTTGTTAAAAGATCACAAGAACTGTTTCCATTGATTTGTCTCTATCTTTATTGCAGGTGGTTGGGTGCATGGTGTTAGTTTCTCTGCCTCAGGAAACAAACTTGCCTGGGTTGGTCATGATTCTAGCATCAGTGTGGTGAATGCTGCTAATGAATCCAAAATGGCAACAATCAAAGGCGATTTCTTGCCTTTCACAGCTTGTGTGTGGGTCACTGAAAACAGTATTGTCACTGCTGGTAATGTTTGCAAGAGATACCTTGCCTTGTATTAAAACAGGGAACTTAAGTAGAAAGTGGATGCAACTGTTATTGGCATACTCTGTCATCAGCTTATTAGTTGGATAATGATAGCTTCAGCATCAAAACTCTACATAACCCTTTAACTCCCATGAGTGACCAAGACAGAATTTCTCCTTATAATATCAATACAATATCAAGCAGACAAGCAATGAGAATAAAGAACAGTATCAATTAGGTGATTATTAGTTGATCCAGTATACCAAATTCTCTGAAGTAACATTGCAAGAATTTTAGAGCAGACAGTAAGGAGAATTACTAATGAGATCTTGGGAGTTAAAAGGTTAAGACCCCAAGCCTTGGGGGGAAAGAACAAAGAACTCTGAACTTATGGCTGCTGTAAACTTCTCCAGGAGGTCAATACATTAGCTCCCCAAAAATATTTTGTGGAATATGGTTTGAGTTGTTAATCTCATAAACCTAGAAGATCAGCAATTGCATGAGCCACCACTGTTTTCTATGATGCTTTATAGAAAACAAAATTGGGAATTTGGTGCTCCAATTGGAAGGAGGGCCACATGTTGTCTATCAATGGGTGCTGGTATTCCAGCATTTTTGCTGCCTTAGATGTGATCCATCTGATCATGGCTTGTGAAAAAATAGACTTCTTGCTGGGAAAGCAGCTAGTTTTATTTCGTCACTAACCCTCTGGGCACCAGTAGCATGTAAATGTAATTTCAAAAATTTGTACCAAATTTCTCCAAGGTTTTGAAGTCTGTATTTTCACTTATCTATCATTTCTTTATGCATATTAAGCAATGTCAACAAACTTCTTTTATTCTAGGGTATGACTATGTCCCAATCTTGTTCAACCATGATGATAATGATACTCTGAGTGGAGGCCAAAAGCTGGATATACCTAAGAAGAAGGAATCCTCTGGAACTGTCAGTGCCATGGCTAAGTTCCGCACCATGGACAAACGAGCTCAGAGTGCTGATGACAGTGAATCTGGTACAGGAGTGCAGACCACCCATCAAAATGCCATTAAGTAAGAAATTCCAATCAATTTGTACTTTATTAAAATTATTTTGGACAGAGTGTCATAAAAAGATAATTTAGTATTATCAACTGAATTGATAAGGTAAATTGGCCACTGTAAAGAGTTTCAAAGGTGATATTTCAAGCGCTAGCCTTTCATTGAATGATTGACAAAGGGCAAACATTCAAAATGTCAGCTTTTAAACTCTTCACCGTGGTCAATTTGCGTTATCAACTCAGTTGATAATACTAATTTACCCTGTTATACTCTCCCACTGATGCATGCTTTAGAAACTTTCCCCCTTTTGTCATATTAAGAAGTTACATGGTAATGGAATATTTTAGTTTTGTATCCTACTGATTATTTTTGGAAAAAGTGTTTTGATGAAGCATAGTGATGTACATAGTAGAGCCAAACAAATCTTACGTGAGAGGACTTATGAAAGTTGTTATGTTAAGAAATTAGAGGGAACTGGATATATTCTAATCAAGCATGGATTGGGTGACAGTAACCAAGCAAGTGTAAACAGTAGGAAACAATTCTATTTTAGTGCGTATTATAGCTGATACCACTCTATTCACTATCTCCATCAGGCATGGATTTAGTGAGTACAAGTTTCGTGTAGGCAGATTTGGCATATATATATACCTCTTCAATCCTCTTTGAAGCAAAGAGAGAAGGCACTAATATTTGTGCTTCTATTAAAAGATTAGTTTACTACAATTTAGAAAGTTTTTGCCTTCTTTTTTTGTTCCTTTTCTCAGTCAAGTGCAGATCCACAGTGGAACTAAGGCAGGTGCCACCAAGTTTGCATCATCTGGTGTTGATGGTCGTCTTGTCATTTGGAACGTCAAGGTAACTGGTCAGCTACTTGTTACATACCATGTTATGTGTATTATTACCCTTTCCAATTTATTTCCTGCCATTCTTGCTATTGGAAATAGCTGAGGATGCTCAGCTTTAAAAGATCTTTATAGATAAATTAAATGAAACATTTCGCAAGCCGCTCGTGGACAAAAGTAAGCCCTGTAGTACGTGTGCTTCGCCACAGCACAGCCCTGATAATAATTATTAGTAATATTTATTTAAAATGGAAGGAGTGTTTGTAAATTTCCATTATGATTAACGGATTATTAATTCATTTTCTATGTGTTACAATCGTTTTTGTTTGTTTGTTTTTTCAGTCCCTGGAATCTTCCATTGCTGGTTTGAAGATTTCTTAGATGTTAAGAAGATCAGTGTTTTCTTTTCCTGGGCTGTTAGAGATGCCTTATATTTGTATCTGCTAAACAAATTTCTTTTATAAAAGTTGGAAGGCGATGATTTTACCACAAGTTGAAGTGGATCATCGAATCAATAAATGTTCTTTCGTTTTCTAAAGTTTGTTGCCTTTTGATAATTTGCATAAATTTATTAAGATTACATATTTGTCAGATAATTTGGTTTTATCAACTTGGTTAATAATATAAATTGGCCACTGTAAAGAGTTTCTAGAGCTGAACTTGCGAGCGAGGGGTGTATGGCAAACGTGGCTGCCTATTCATTTCCTCAGACTACACAGTCAACTGGTTAAATAACGTTTAATTAATGTATATTTACAAATCATACATTCCACAAAGATGAGTGAGCGTCCCTTTCAAATACGTTACAAAACTTCGTGCTATCCATGACAATGTTTTTTCAAGTCATCCCACGTTTTCAATGACGGTTTGCTATAAGGGACGTTGTGACTGTTTTCGCTAAAGATTTGAATCAGACCTTTACGAACACGGTAAGGGCTTTAAAATGCACTGTTATGGAACTCAAACTCCGTTGGAACTTCATCTGTACACTTCACACTGACAGCACGACTTTTTAAATTAAAGTGCAGATAATTTGTGTCTTGGCAAGCCTTTCGGCTGGTTTACGTTACAGGTATTCTGTTCTCCTTTGCCCATTTCTTCATGGTACGGATGATGTATTCCACTTGAGGGTTTCCGGTGTTTCGGAGGATCTGGAGAATGTCTCTTAGTGTTTCCCTGGAACAAATAATCAACTATTAATCCCCAGTGGTAATAAACATTTAACTTCTTACGTAACAGTTCATAACCCTGTAAACAGGTGGGGAGAGTTAACAAACTAATCGGTTAGAGTGGGTCACCTTGATATAACACCAAATTCTCATTACTAATTCAAAAAATTATAAGACAATTTGCGAGGAGGAGTAACAATCAAATCTAGAAACTTGAGCTAAGAAAAGGCGTCGTGGCGAGAAACTATTGTTGGGAGGTTTGTCCAAAGGAAAACAAATTTAAAGGCCGTATGAAGGCAACCGATCGTCAAAGAATCCTCGACAAGAGCAAGTTGAAGTGGTCACATAAAAAAATAATGTCAGAATACCTGAAATTCAAGCATGTGATTCAAGCACCTATAATTCCCACAAGCAAACAAAAACGTTTCAACACCGACCTGGGTTCATGACCAGCGATGATTTGCTGGAAGATTCCAACACAGGCCCCTCTCTTTCCTTCCCAGTACTCTGGGTTAGGGTCCAGTCTCTCCAACACATCAAACGCTTTAGCAGCGTAGTAGAACTGACCCATCTGTGGAGGGAAAAAAAAAAAGGAAAAAAGGTAACGACTTTCTAAAACAAATAAAAAAAGGTGTGACGGAGACATAATCATCTCGAAATCTCGAGAAATCCTAGGCGTATCTCATATACATTTGCTCCTATCAAGGTTTCATGAATAAAGTTCGTTCAACCAGGTTCCTTGCTACAATTGATCTCTTCTTTAACAGTGTCACTGTGTTTTTTGTTTTGTTTATTTCGTTTATTTTTTTTTCGGCCAGTAAAGTTGAAAAGTTACTTCAAGGTTAAGCATCTTCAACCCGTAGGATACTGATGTTAGGGATAAGTGGTTAAAGGTTAGTAAGGTAGGTCGATTGCGCAGAAAGCGAAAATAACTCCTTTGAAACGAAATAGAGAACTTACTTTGTAACAGTCGTTTGCGATAAGCTGCAGTAAACTAAATGATTCCCCGGATGTCTCCATCTTCAGGTATAGTTCCCATGCAGGGCGGGCTTTGTGGTTCATAATGTCTAGACAATTCAACAGAGTTCCAGTCCGTTACATTCAAAGAAAATTCGAGTCGCAGGTAAAGAAGATTTTCCATTTTAGGCATTTGTTTACTTAACGGGAATAAAGAGAGAATTGTTCCTTAAAAGGGTCCGGTATCATCACCTTCCTTATATCTGAGGTGCCAAATTGTTTCAGGACGCCAATTTACGATTATCCGCCATACCATTTACTTGACAGTGAATTGCATGTATGTCTGGCTTTTAAACTATCAATTCTCTTTGGAAAGTATCATTCTTAAATAAAACTTAACAAGGCCTGCATTCGCCACCTCGCGCTCATCCAAGAATTAATCCTCCTTCTCTAAAAAGCCTCTGATCATTAAGCTAAAAAAAAATATATTCTTAACTGTTATAATTATCTGAATCTACTTACAGCATCGCGCCAACCAGCTCAGGTATGTGTAGTCATTTTTTATTTTTTCAGACTGGACGAGCAAAAAGATCTAAAAGACAGTCGAGAAGAAGAAATAATCAACACTACCTGTAGAATAATAACCTAACAGTACAACAATTTACAAATGATTTAATAACAACTTACCTCCTCAGCTTCTTTGTAATTGCCAACAGCCGCCTTAGCTTGGCCGTAGTTAAAATTGAACGTATCGTCATTGTAGAAGTAACTCTGACATAAAGAGACAACAAAGACTTTAGCCACAAAACTTATCTTGCAGTAGTCACGGGACTCTGAGAGATTCTCGCTGGCACGTTTCGAGTAAGTTTGCCTACGTTTTCACAGTCAGTCTTAAACCTAAACCGCTGCTAAGTTCCAAAATAAGGATCCTCGCTAATCGTGCACGCCCCACGCACCAGTAGGAGTTCTAGGCACTGTTAGAGGCACAAGTATTCAATCTTTCATTAGACTTATAAGTAAAGGGGGGAAGTTTCTAAAGAAACGGTGGTACTGCTTCTGATCAATGGGGAGTGTTATGAGATAATTCGGTTTTACCTACTGAGTTGACAAAGTAAATGGTACACGGTCACTTCGCCGACATGTCAACTCGCCGACGACTTTGGTCAACTCGCCGACATACCGATTACTTCGGTTACTTCGCCGTTATCCTGGTTTAGCGAATGACGAGGGGCTAACGCTCAAAACGTCATCTTTCGAAACTCTTTACGGTGGCCAACTTACATTGTCAACTCAGTTGATTAAAAAAAATCAAATTATCTACATGTATCAAGACATATTGAGTGAAACCCATCATGTGCGTTCGAATGGTCGATACAAAATTAAGGAGTTCCCTCTCACTCTTTGCTTGCTAACTGACTCCCTCACCGATTGCTTATGAGAGTAAAAGAATGGTTGGTCGCAAGTACAGCAATGATCATTCAACGCAGATTAGCTTTTGACCTGATTCTTACCTTGATTGAGTTGAGGTAAATAAGGACATCTTCAAACTGTTTCAAAAGGAAAAAACACGATGCCATACACTGTCTTCCTGGAATGGTATCTATATTGGGAAAACAATAGACAACTAATATGCATCCAAAACTCAACGAAAAGAAAAAAAAATTACAGTGGCTGGCAATAAATGGTACAAAATTGAAAGAGTGGGATATAGTGTACCTAAAAGCAGAGAAAATTGAGCGATCAATGTTTTTCTTCCTGCATTTTTCCTAAAAATACTGTCAACCATAGATTTACTTTCTGCAAATACAACAACTCAGAGATCCCCTCAGTTATAACCCTTCCACAAAGTGATGCCCTGTGGTTATTTGGAAACTAGAGCGCTGGCCCTCTCCTAACTAAAAGTAAGTAATTCACGGTTTCGTCAACAAACCTAAACTTTACAAGCGAAATCTGTGATTCGCGCTTAGCTTCTCCATTCATAGACAGACGCTATCCTTTGTAATTTATTCTAGACTTACTTCTAGGGTGTTTGCCTACCCAAGCAAACCTTATTATTTAACGGTTTCACCGTAATGATGAAGTACTTTTCAAAAAAAAACCACTGCTACAGTAGCGTACATGTATCCCCTGTCTTGTAAGATACACAGAAAAGCGCAAAACGTACCACATTCGCTGGCTGATCCACCAACAAGCTGAAAGTACTGTTGAGCAATCTTCAAGTGTTCCCTCTTCAACAATAAAACAAATATCTTCAATTTTCTAAAGCACAGTAACAACAAGAGGCAATGACAGTGAAAAGGAGAAGCTGAACTTACAGATCCTTGTTCCTGTCCCAAAGCTGCATTGACCACACCCTTTAGGATGTACTCCTACAATGAAACAAGACAAGACCTCAGTTCTACTGCAAACAAGGCAGCTGTATGCAAAAATTGTACTTCAAGTCTACCTGGGGAGTTGTAGGTTCCAAATCTTTGATAAGATTATAAGCTTCCACAACATCATCTGATGAAACAGGTACACATAAAAAATTAATTATCAGTATAAAAATGAACTCTTTTATACTGTTCATTTTCAAATTTCAAAATAACCCTTGCTTCTCACCTTGCCTCAGGTAATAGATAACCTACAAAATGAAACAAAAAATATAACAAACATTAGCAAGCCACAAGATGAAACAGATTAGGAAGGGATTTTTCAACATTTCAGCTGATTACTAGTTGAGATGTACTTTTGAAGAATATTAGAACATGTACTTACCAAATTCAAGCGAGCTTCAGGAATGACATCCACCAGGGGTGGTAAAACTTGTAAGGCACCTTCACCACCTCTAAAAACAACCTGGTAAATAAAAGGAGACAGAAAAGTAAAATTTACATACATCTGTTGCAGGAATGTTAGATCAGGCTTTATGGCAAGAATCCTTAGGTCCAGTGAAAGATCAGTTCCCTCAGTGACCTTGGGTCTCCTTGCTTCTTCATGTAGCATTTGCCTTTGTCTCTGTTCTAGCTACAGGTTGTATGTAATGTTATTTAATTTTCTTCAAATGCACATTTCACTATCTATGTGTAAGGACTCTCTTCCTTGTTCTTTGAAATATTTGCAGGGTTTGCACAACTCACCAGATTGTGCTTAATAAGATCATTGGCAAAGCTAAAAGAAGGACTTGCTGTCTCTTGTAGAGTCTTAAGCTCACCCTGAGAAGAAAGTTGTTCAAAGTTAATCTCAAGATGGCATAGGTTAATAATATTATTCACTCTAGATACTTATCTACTCCTTTTTATGAATATGCTCAAGACTGAAAGGTGACCAACTGATACAGTACCATTAGAATGTCAAGTAGACAGGCGATAACGGTACAGTAAAACAAACTATTAAATACAGTTCATTGAATAGAAACTGCTAATGAGATAAGGGAGCTGATCACAGTCTCACTGAGATGCAAAATATAAGCACGAAGCAGTTTTCTACTGAGCTGAGTGCAAGAAAGTTTTCAGAAAGAAATTGAAAACTGTCAATGAGTAATTATAGCATTTTTCACCTCAGCTGCTTTCCCATTGTAGAGTCTAAAGTGGTTACATGCTTTCAAGTTTACTGCAATGGCACTGAAACCAAAAGGATAGGTTGAGACTTAAACTAAAGATAGAAGAAATTGATTATCAAGCATAACACAAATTCCAAGACTCGTGGCTGGTTTTGACTGGCAATGGAGTTGGAGATGAAGTTTAACTAAGTCATTGTCATGGTGGTGAGAGCACTTCCAACTTAGTGGAAATCAAAAATGGTAGAGGTCATAAGCAGAGTCATAAACTTAAGATGGAATCAAAAGTGGAAGTATCTGTTCAATACAATTTCATTCTCCTTCAATTTCCTTTATGATATTGACACTTGTGATCCAGTGAAACCAAGATTGTTGGAGTTGTAAGCAGAAGTGGAAGATCCAACCAATAAAAAAGGCCAGTTCTCACACCATCCAAAGGCTTACCACTCTGACAATCCAGTTTTCACTACATCATAATATATATATTTAGGCAAGCCTAAAAGCTGAGCTCGCATTTTTTTTCCCGCACGTCTCTTCAACAAAACTAAAGCCCCTACTATAGATAAAGTGCATGGTAACATTAATGGATTTTCATTTGCAACTTCTCCATGTCCATTTTCACTACATCATATAACTCTACACACTGATTATGACTCTGACCCCATCATAAGTGAAAACCAGGCTTAATGTGACAAGAGTAGAGTACTTAATATTTGAGATTATTCCACGGGACCCTGATTGTACAGAGTGATGCCAGTTTACCTGTCAGGATAATGCTGCAAGTAAACAGCCAGTACCTCCTACAAATTAAGTAGAAAGTGAAAATCAGTTCTGCACAACCATTCTCGCAAAAAAAACCCATCACATTTCTGACTGGTTTAAATTATTCTTATAAATTTATCTACAAGTTGTAATCCATGATTGTCCCATAAATTCACCATTGATAACAACATTATTAACAGTGGTTGTAATTTTTGTTCACACCAATCATTTTAAAATCTACTTTAAAAGAAAATGTTGATTTCCAAACAACATTTAGAATCTCAATTTATTAGCCCAGCATTCAAATAAAAGTACTCAGTTTACTTGCTTTAAATTCAGTAATAAATTAACAAGCACAAAGAGGAAAGCTTGAACAGACATAGAAAAATTACCTGAGAGACATCATAATAATCGAGTTTGTAATAACACAAGGCAACATACACATTCAAGGCCAAATAATCCCTACAGAAAAAAATAACAATCAATTGAAACTAAACAGTGCAAATTTTAAAAACTGTAGTAGATAATCATACTGCATGTGATTGACTATTTTCATTTTAAGCAATTGTGTTACCAAATTGAAGACTTTCCCAGCAAATTTAGTTGCCAATTTTTTTCTGCTAGCAACAGCAACTCCTGTAAGACAGCTAGTCCTTGTGGTAATAAAGGGGTAAGTTTCTAGAGAAACTGTGGTGCTGCATCGGTGGGAGAGTATAGCAGGTAATTTAGTGTTAACAACTGAGTTGAAAATGTAAAATTAGCCACCGTAAAGGGCAAAAAAGCTGACATTTTGAGCGTTAGCCCTTCACCCAATCACTCTGATGAAGGGCTAACACTCGAAACGCCAGCTTTTTACCCTTTACAGTGGCTAATTTACGTTTTCAACTCAGTCGTTAACACTAAATTAACTTGCAATAATAGTTCTACAAATCACTTTCCAGTACTTTCATACCTTGTGCACTCTTTGAATATGACTTAAATTCTATGTACCTGGTCCAGTAGTCATAAATTATTTTAACAGTTGTACTAATGGTATGTTGACTATCCTACGCTTGTTGTACTCTACCTGTTATCAAGAAGAATTCTCTTATAAATGTCAATAGCTTCTTGGTAATGACTTCTCAGGTAATGGATAGAGGCAAGGCTTAGCTGTTTGATTTAAAACAAATATAAAAAGCATTTTATAGAAGTTAGAGCACATGAAATTTGGAAACTGCACATTATTATTCCAAAAAATGTATATTAACCTGATGGAAAATTTTTTCCTCAAGGGATATGTTTACTGACATCATGAGCATGCACAATAGGAATATGAAGCACACTTGCACAATTGAATTTGATTAGACAAATTTACTAGCTATGTTCTAAGAACATTTTGTATATTCTTGTCTTTAATTACCTGGTCCTCAATAATATCTTGTAAGGCTTGATGATGGGTCATCAGTCTTTTCTCATCATTAAACTATTAATAATGATGAAATATGCAGAGATAATTGAGTGATACACAGAGAATGAATCAAGCTATAAATGAGTGATGTTGGGACTCCATATGTAAATTTGTAGTGTTAGCATAGCCGTAGGAGTCTGGGAAGAGCACCCATGTTACTGACCTAAGATGGGAGAGCATTTGTTATACTTTCGTGCCAGAAATGTACAGCAGAATAGTCCCTTAATCAGAATACAACTTAATGATGATTCCCTCTAAAGAACCTGATCATTATTAGAAAGAGTAGAAATTAAATATCAACTTTGTTTTGCAACCTTAGACTTGTCTGCTAACCCAAAAAAATCAACAATTACCAGTATGTGTTCTACTGTATACACCATAGTGATGTGAGAAATGCTTGGAATTAAATAGCCAATATACATTTCGTCAGAATTAAATTAAACAACTTTGATATTACCTTATGCGACAGGTGAAATAACAGCCTGTTTTGAAGTCTACTCTTTGGACCTAAAAATTGTTTTGACATGTCAAAAACAAAAAGTATTGTTATTGTTTTTGACAAATCAAAATGTAAAGTTTCATTTCAAATTCATTCATGATAATGTTTCTTAAAATATTTTTTAAGATGAAATTTGAAAAACTATATTCAACAAATTAGTATTATTAATAATTTATAACCTTCAGAAAGTCCAACAAAATCTTGAAACTGTAGTCAATGATTCTAATCACATATTTGGTAAAAGACTGCCATCAGACAACATTTCTATCTGCAATAGTTGATACATATATCTCAAACAACATCTCTTACCTTTTAAAGCCATCTCATCACCCTCCTTGTACATTCCAAGGAAAAAGTAACAGCATGCAAGATTTACCCACACATCTGGATGGCAAGCTTCACTTTTTGTTAGAGCCAGATACTCCTAATCAAGATGAAAATAACACCAATCAGTGGCTTAACTTTTTGGCCAGAATTATTTTTGTGGTTTCAGTAATAACTCAGTACCTCAAGAGATGAGCTTAGGGTTAAGGTTCTCAATGCATTATCAGTACTTTCTTCTGTAAACCAGTTACGAGAATTTATTGATATATTGGTTGTTTTGACTAATGCATAGTTGTTATCTCTCCAGAACTTTACCTCCATGGCTTTCTTGTAATCTCCTAAATGAAATGCTGTGTATGCAATCCAAAGATTTGTCTCTTCACTTCCCTTTCCAGAGTTGCGGTTAAACTAGAATTTTGAAAAATAGATGTACATGTAGCATGGATAAATTCAGGTGATGGACAGAAAAAAAACCAAAATTGTCATAAACAAGTGCTTTATGCACTTGCTTCACACAACTTGTTTATGTACTGCCCTGGTACATTCAGTATTTATTTATTCACTTTTATCTGTATATTCATTATCATCCAAAAGAAAATTTTGAAAATGGAATTTCGAATGGGAAGAATTTCAGTTTTTTAGCCAAGAGCTCCAAATTTTGTTAGCTTCATCGAAAAAAATATTTATCCTCTCTAAGGAAAAAAAAGACAATCATCTTCATCAGGAGAGGGAGGGGGTAGCTGGGTTTGTGGGTAAAAATGGAACGTCCCTGTTCCGACTTCATCCCACCATATTGCCAAGGAAAAACTCTAAAATTTTCATATTTGAAATTTAAGGATCGAATTCCCATTACCTCTGCTAAAGTTATAGCTCCAGTATAGTCTCTCATTTGTAAAAAATCCTCCAATTTTGGCAACTTGCGTTTCTTTTTCGACTCCTTAGCAGATGACACGGTGTTTCCTGACCCAGGGCCTACGGCCGGCTTCTTCCTTGAGAGCATCTGCAGGATTTCACCGAAAAAGAACAAGACAATTTGATGAAAATCAAAAGTAGTTGTAAAATGATATAATTTTGGCTCGATCTATGGGAAGAAATAATCTAAAAATTAAAATTTTCTAGCGCATTATAAAAATGTAAACTCTGTCGACGGTTGCCATACAACAAATATTCGTTTCTAAAACACAAGGGGAGTCTCACCATTTTGGCGACGAGATTTCTTGATAAGCTTTCCACCAAAACGTATTTTTCCGGTACAATTCTTTTTAACTAAATGGGACGTTTCAAAAAGTGTATTCTAGGTCAGATATCTCCTTCGAAGTTTGGTCGCTACGGTAGCCATATTACCACACTTCGCAATCAGCCTCAAAATGATGAGGTAAAAACGTCACGCTCCCGGGTGGGGTTGAAATTGTTGACAAATGGCTCTTTAGCGGAAAGATGGACGTCAGTCTGGACGTCAGCTGTGAATTGCCAAAAAACAGCAATAAATTTACTGGTACAGACGAAAAAACGATTAATTCCCATCGTAAGGGAGTCTCTTGTGTTAAGTTTAGCCCAAACGGGCAATTTATAGTTTCCTCTTCAGCCGACAAACTGATCAAAATATGGAACTTGGCTGGAAAATTAGAAGGGACTTTGAAAGGACATAAGCTTGAAGTTTCTGAAGTTTCTTGGAATTCTGCGAGTCAGTTTCTTGTTTCGGCGTCAGACGACACCAGCGTTAGGATATGGGATCTTGCCAGCATGACTTGTGTTAAGATTCTTCTTGGTCATCAAGATTATGCCTTCTGTTGCTGTTTTAACTTGAAAACAACTTTGGTTGTGTCGGGTTCATTTGATGAAAGCATCAAGATCTGGGACGTGTCTGAAGGTGCAATATAGGAATAGCTATTGCAAATTATGAAGGTGAAGGGTTTGGTGGGGTTCAATATGTAAAGTATGGCAAGTGCATATCAAACTCTTTCATTCTACGCACACCGCGCTGGGGTGGGGTTTGAGGTGGAAGGGGCCCTAGGTAGAGGTTTGCCTCCAATCACAATAAGTGGCCTATGAAAAAAAAAAAAAAAAAAAAAA